GAAGCTTTGCGCAGGGAAAACGAGCAGCTCCGAAACAAACTCGTTGATACAGAGAGGGATTACATTCGAATCTCACGGCTCAACGAGGTATACAGAGAGGAGCTCATTGAACATAGGCGTCGTGTATGTCTTCCCCCATATAATTAATATTCACTCGTTTAATCCGTGCTTTACAGTTGGGAATGTCCGTTGACAATCTCATAGGTCTTGCCTCTGCCGACCCCTATTCCCAACCGACGCATAGACGGTCTTCTTCATCCTTCACGAATGGGTCGTCGCTTGCAACATCCGTGTTGCACGTTCCGACACAACCGGGAGCACGTCCAATCCATGCTGTGCCGATTCCCCGGCCATCGTCACGTATCCATCGGCCGGTTAATCTGACTTCCGAGGGCAATACACCATTCTCTCATTCCCCTGGATCCTTTTCCGAGTCGCCGTTCCCTTTCTCCCCCGCTACCAACTCGGGCAGCCTCACGAGCCCCAATACAAATACTACAAGCCCTCCTTCGTCCTTGTCCTACAATTCAAATGTAGGGGACGTCACTGCCTCCTTCCAGCCCCGTACTCTTACATACCCTTCTGTGCCCCCACCCTCCCTGTCTTCCTCATTTGGCTCGCCAACGGTACCTTTCAACATTTCTCATGGGGAATACTCTCCGATTGAATCATCAAGTCGACGCAGTTCGGGAATCGCAAGAGACACCGACTGGCGCCTGTCGGAGTCAGGAAGCCGAAGGAACAGTGTGGAGCGGGGCGCGAGGGTGGCAGAGACGGGCACATTGGTGCCGCGCAGTCGTACAAGTAGCATCGCTCTGACATCGCAGGCGCCTGCAGTGATCAATGGAACTACTGACTCGTAAAGCAGGTTCAGACTCGACGTGATTTTTGTAAACTTCTTGTCGAAATTGGAATCAAAGCCAAGGCAAAGACATTACTGTACTATACTAATGTTGGAATAGAGTATGTTCATAGACTAAGACTGTAGTATGTATGTAGTTCGATAGGGTTGAATAACCAATTCATTGAATCAACGGATAGGGTTTACAGTCACGTGGACCGACGCATCCCGACGAATGCTGTGCAGGGACCCCGTCGAACTGCCATTTGCGGGGTCCTGCCTGCCGCATGGCGGTTTACCGAATTTCGGAGGCGCTGCGATGACTCGACGCCCCACCGTATAAATTAGACCATGATGGACAGCGTCAAGTGTCTTTATCTAATGTCATATCCATACAGTCAGTATTCTGAGGAAGACCTTGCTCATCCAACGACCCCCCTTGCTTTTCGTACTTGGGAGACAATCCAGAATGAACAAGCACAGAGTCAAGCCCAAGCCCAACAACAGCAACAGCAACATCTTCAGCAACTTGAACAGCACTCCCACTCGCCTGATCAACCGGCCCCGCCATCTCCACTCACGCCACAGCAAGATTCAACACGGCAGTCTGAAGATCCACCGTCGCGTGTCGGCCTCTCTCAGCGTCTCTCTGCCTACGACGACACTCCAATTTGCCTCCATCGTGTTCCTCAGAGGGATGATCATGAGGTCCGTCGTGAGAGTTTAAGGCAACAAGGGCATAGACCCCATCTCGAGACACAAACAAGCGTGGCGCCCACTTCAACAGTCGGCCCCACCAGACAGACGCGCTCGTCGCATATCATTCAACAACAGCAAGTGCATCCGTATGGAAGGCGCCCACGCAGTGCTTTGAGTTCAGCGCCACCGTCCCGCCAGCAGCCTATGGTCAGATTTCCAAGTGTGCAGCCATCAGCACAGGCATCTTCCTCTGGTATGCACTCTCCCGTTGTCCCGTTGACAGCAATGCCTTCGCCAGTTATACCTTCGCCAGCCAGCACCGTCAACCGCCTCGGTGGTTATGGTTCAGCCATTGGGTAAGTCGTTGCTCGATGTTTTCTTAGGCACTGAAGTAGTTTTGTTTTGACAGCTCGCCGGATGATAGTACGCTGATTCAACCTTCAAGAGACAGAAGTGACCGTGAGCCACGCCGCAAGTGGATGCTCCGCTCAGACTCTTGGTATGATCCCGAGGCTAAGAAACTCAGAGTCATGCTCGAAGTTCCAGGCATAAGCAAAGCCGACGTAAGAGTGACGCTCTCGACGTGCTCCTGGAACCGTGTGAAGCAGATCACTGTGTCTGGTGTCTCGCGGCCTGTGTTCCCGCCGCTGTCTGTGGCAGAGTCCACAGACGGGATGATGTTAGAGCTTACTACTACAAGAGAGCGAAGGTTCGGCGAGTTCGCGAGGACGTTTGCTGTTCCCGCCGAAACCAACGTGCGCTTTTCTCTGGCGCGTCTGTTTTAGTCTGAGTTAATCCTTTTCTCTTTTTTATGTTTGTTCCTTAGCGTAAAGACGTCGAGGCATCAATAGAGAATGGCATTCTTTACATCAACATTCCATGCGGTACACCCGTGGCACCCAATGCAGAAGATGTGCCTATACGTTAGATTGAGATACGAAAAACTTCCTCGAGCCGAAGACACCAACCTTCAAGATTGCAACTGCAAAAAAAATCATCGCGCCCCCTCCATCCTTTGTCTTGCTCCCCCACAACTCCTTTCTCTCATGAATTATCTTGATTCTTGGAACCAAACCAACGTCCGTTCTCTCCATTGATCGGATATCCGCAGGGGTCCGTCTTTATACATACTTACTTACCTTCCACTTATTTTATAATCATATATACCCTACTGTCTTTATTAGTATTGACGATCTTGAATGACATTTCTTGCTATTCTAGTGTGAATGATGTCCGAGCAAGGCGAGTGGGAAAAGATTAAAATAAGTACTTTGCACAGTTTGACCGCAGGAGTTGTTCGGCAAACAATTTGATATAGCACGTGGGACGATCATGCCACGAAAGTCACCTCAAGCAGTGACTTGCTCGTCCTTGGTTTCGCAGTTTTCAAACATTTCTGGCCTCAAGGCCATTTTCTTTGTATAATTCTCTCTTCATGGTCGATGATAAATATATCGGCATTGCCCTCGCGGTGTCTGGATCTATTTTAATCGGCACAAGCTTCATTATCACCAAAAAGGTGGTTACTAGAGCACATCTGACGATTGAGCTCATCTGTTCTTCTCTCTAGGGCCTCAATGACACCGCGAGACGGAACGCACAATATGGCGCCCAATCTGCAACGGATAACCTGTCATATTTGAAGAATCCGATATGGTGGGCGGGATTGTCAACCAGTATGTGACCCTGTCGTTCCATTTGAACTGTTCAAAGCTGATGCTGCGTCGTCGTCGTCAGTGGTTATTGGAGAAGGTATGTTAGACTTCGATTTGGCTGGGTTGGGATGTAATGTAGTCTTGCAGTTGCAAACTTTGCGGCGTATGCGTTTGCCCCACCAATACTTGTGACACCATTAGGAGCGCTCAGTGTACTAATTGGGTACGCTATCCCATCGACACCTTTGGACATTCAGCTGACTTGCTGAGCTTAGCGCTGTCCTCGCTTCTTTGTTCCTTAACGAGGAACTTGGTCACCTTGGACGGCTAGGATGCACATTGTGTTTCATCGGTTCCCTCATCATAGTTCTACATGCGCCAGAGGATAAAGATATTCAAACAGTGGACGAATACCTAACTTATGTTTTGCGACCAGGTGTGTTGTTATCCACTCTATTATCTATGTTATCTCGAACTAGAAACCTTGCGTACAGGATTCTTATTGTACTGTCTAACCGTTCTTGTCTTTACTCTCATCATGATATACGCTGTCGCGCCCAAGTACGGACGGTCGAATCCGCTCATTTATATCTCCATCTGCTCTCTGGTCGGTTCAGTATCCGTCATGGCTATCAAAGGCTTTGGTGTCGCGGTGAAGCTCACCTTTGGCGGTAAAAACCAGTTTACAAACCTAAGTACATATGTGCTGGGAATATTTGTCGTGCTGTGCATCCTCGTACAGATGAACTATTTCAACAAGGCACTTGACACTTTCTCCACGAATGTGTAAGTCTACTGGACTCCTATCATTTCATATCTGATTTCAATTCAAATTCAAGTGTGAATCCCATGTACTTTGTCGGCTTCACCTCAGCTACCATCACTGCCTCCCTCATACTCTTCCAGGGCTTTAACACCACCGACGCCGGCAACACATTATCTCTTCTCTGCGGATTCGCTGTCACCTTCCTCGGTGTGCACATACTGAACCTTTCGCGAGCGGCTGAACCTGCTCTTGGAGAACACTCGACACTCGAAGCTGGCCTGATGAACCCCCGGTTAAGCTTGCAAGGACGCTTGTCACTCGACGGATGGAACGCCGAAACTCGCATGGGCCCACCGCCTCTCCCAAGGAGCAACTCCCGCAGGGGGTCACATTATCGCAACCAATCCGCAACGCTTTTCAATGCGTTTGCTGAGCACGAAGACCAGTCCGAGGTGGTGGGGCTGGAGCAGCTAAGGGAAGAGGAATCGGATGACGATGAGAATGCCGATGAACTGACGCGGTTAAAAAAGGATGAGCCGAAGCAGCAGCTTAATGGGAATGGCAGGCAGAGCGGGTCTCGTAGCCAGAGCCACTCGCCCATTCCGAGCCGATCGGTATCGACAGATGTTCGGATGGCACTACCATAATGTTCTATTATGATTATAGATACCCGCACTCCGCAGAGATGGACTTACAGTACGACACGCGGTTAATTGGCTAGACGGGGAACGCATCCTTTGAAATGTATTCCTCAATCTGTCGTAATACATGTGAACTGTATGAAGCCCACTGGTTTTAGGGCCCGTGTAGGATGAAACTGGAAACGCTAAATACGAAGGATTTATACGCTAACATTGTGAATTTATCATGTTAAACGAACGTTGTCACAATTTGACCAATGCGCGACCGACAGAGGATCTTAGAGACCTTCCACTTCGACGACCTCCCTCTAGGTAAGCAGAGTTGTTTCTGAGGGAATTTCTTCAATTTGATTGGCGCGACTGATTGAGATATACCGGGCAAAAGGATCAGCAAAAATTGGTTCAATCCAGGATCGAACTGGAGACCTTCTGTGACCATTGAATATATATCAATTGTGAGACAGAAATCATAACCGCTAGACCATTGAACCACTTGTTATATTAACATTCTATGGCACTAGATGTCGCTCAAAGAGTTCAATACACGAGGCTATCTTTCGCTTGAATGTTCATTTTTTCGTAATTCGACGTGAATTTTCCCAGTTTAGAGGCCTTTGTGCTTTGTACAGAATGTCCTGCCCGTGAGGATTGACTTTGTACGTTTAAATAGATAGCCAAAGAGATTGGACTCGATGTTACTTATTATGTATCCGTTCCGTTTTCAATCCTTGGCAGCGGGCCGGTTCACTTGGCTCATGTTATTCCGTCATGTGTACCCGCGATACCAATACTTTTTCCTTTCCTATCCATCTCGCACATTCCGAAGCAAATCAAACCTGACAACCATGGCAGCAACAACGAACGGAACAGTCAACACAACTAAACGGCTAGCTGCGCTCCGCCAGCTCATGGCTCAGGAGCATAACGTCCAAGCTTATGTCGTTCCCAGCGAGGACCAACGTGAATATGTTATGATAAGCTCGCATGATGTATGGTATTGACGAAGCCAATTCAGACTCCAGCGAGTACCTTGCGGATTGCGACAAGAGACGAGCATTCATCTCTGGGTTCAGCGGATCTGCTGGTGAGTGGTCTTTTCGACGACCCTTTCTCGCTCGCACTTACATTTCGAACGAAGGATGCGCCGTCATCACGCCGAAAGAAGCTTTCATGTTCACAGATGGCCGATACTTCCTGCAAGCGGTGAAAGAAATGGATCAGTCAGTTATCTAGCACTTCCCATATGATCGCTGACTGTGGGGCGCGCAGAAATTGGACGTTAATGAAGCAAGGTTTACAAGGTCAGTTAGTCGGTCATCGTTCCCATGGCGCAGTATGACATAGCATTGTTGATTGTACGCAGATGTTCCTACCTGGCAGGAGTTTCTTTCGAAGGTAATAAGGAACTTGCTATTCTGTCGGGAAGTCGACCTATTGAAGATTATGGATCGGCTAGAATCTCGAATCTTCCACGCGGATAGGCATTGACCCTACACTTATATCCGCATGTGAGGAAGATAGTCCTATTCTCCTTGCTTTGCATATCTGATGCTCATCTCAGCAAACGCCGACACCATTTCAAAGGCTCTAGGACCCACTCAATCCACACTGGTTCCTATAGATCAGAATCTCGTCGATCTTGTCTGGGGTGACCGCCCTGCCCGGCCTCACAACTCGATCATCCACCTTGATGAGAAGTATGCTGGCCAATCACTTGGACATAAAATCAGGGCACTCAGGGAGGAACTGGCAAAGAAAAAGTATCAGGCTTTTGTTGTTAATATGCTCGATGAAATCGCATGGTTGTTCAATCTCCGTGGCTCTGACATCGAGTACAATCCTGGTAAGGCGACTCGCGTTGATGCTTAGGAATGGTTGGACTCATGCATGAGTGTAGTGTTCTTCGCCTATGCTGTGATCACAGCTGACTCGGTCAACTTGTTTGTCGAGAAGACTCAGCTCAGTGATGACGCTCTCAAAAACCTTGGGGATGATATTAAGATCAAACCATACGACGCATTCTTCGGTTACCTTCGGGAACTTCCAACCGTCCTGACGCTTGATGAAGAAGCAGTACGCCTTTCGCTGTCACCCCAGTTCCCGTTCTAACAGAGCGTAGAAAGTTCTTATCGGTGAAAATGCCAGTCACGCGATTGCTCAAGCTTTAGGCAAGGTGAGTCAGTCGCAGTTGCGAGATTCTCTTTCTGAGTGGACCAGGACAAATATGTTATTGCACCCTCCCCTATTGCCGAGATGAAAGCCATCAAAAATGCGACTGAATTGGAGGGCTTCCGCCAGTCACATATCCGCGATGGAGCAGCGTTGGCACGGTACTTTGCCTGGCTTGAGGAGCAAGTCAACAATGGGGTCGAAATTAATGAGAGCCAGGGTGCTGATAAGCTGGAGGCATTGAGATCGTGAGCACGATTCGCTCGAGATTATTACATTTTGACGGTCTGGTGTGTAGTGAGTTAAGTCTGTTCCGTGGTCTATCGTTCGATACGATCTCATCAACCGGGCCAAATGCAGGTAGGGGTATAATAAATTTCATTATCGATCTACTAATTTGACTCGTTCTTAGCTATCATTCACTACAAACCTGACCCGGCGAACTGTGCTATTATTAAGAAAGATCAGGTCCAACTTTTGATTTAAATAATTGTTTTGCTATCTAAACCACCACCCCAGATATATCTTTGTGATTCTGGGGGTAAGTAGACGGATTGTACTCTCCGTTCAGAAGTCATATGGTCTCTACAGCTCAATTCTTCGACGGCACCACGGATGTAACCAGGACCTGGCATTTCGGCACTCCGACAGACGAAGAAAAACGAGCATTCACGCGGGTTCTCCAGGGACACATCGCGATCGATACAGCCATTTTCCCCGCAGGAACTACAGGTTGGTCATTTAATGTCCTCATTCAACTCGTCTAGTGACTTATATTCTTAGGTTATCTAATGTAGTCTTCATGTTGAGCCTTTTGTGACATTGACTGAATCACCTTTCAGTGACGCGTGGGCCCGCAGGGCACTCTGGAAGGATGGACTTGGCATGTGTTTCCTTTTCTCAATCCTTGATATATTCTCATATGGCCAATGATTGCTCCAGATTATCGGTATGCCAGAGTTATACTTTCGTAACTATCGATTAATAGTTGTTCAGTCACGGCACCGGCCATGGCGTAGGCCATTATCTTAACGTCCACGAAGGTCCTCATGGTCTTGGCGTCCGGATAGGTAGAAACCCTAGTGTCATCTTTGTCAGGAATTGCTCACGATATCTACAGCATACAACAGCACGCCTCTCAAAGCGGGCATGACCGTCTCCAACGAGCCGGGCTACTATGCCGATGGCCGTTTCGGCATCCGTATCGAGAGCATCGTCCTCGTGCGTGATGCCACGACACCTAATAACTTTGGGGACAAAGGCTATCTTGGCTTTGAAGTGGTCACTATGTCAGTGTTCATCTATTTCACTCCCTATCTCAAGTCTTGATCCAAGTATTCTTCAGGTGCCCCATATCTAAGAAGCTTATCGACACAAGCCTGCTCACTGCGGACGAGCAGAAGTGGCTGGATGCTTACCATGCTCAAACATGGGAGAAAGTATCGCCGCTTCTCGAGAACGACGAAAGAGCTCTGAAATGGTTGGAAAGGGAGACATCTCCTCTGTAACTACATAGGAAAGGTATGTGAAGGACGACATATATCGTAGCAATTTGTTCAAATCAGAATGTCAACGAAACTTGGGCGATGGTCACTTGCAAGGAGTCCAGTGTCGGAGAGAGATGTCCCCGTGTTATAGCCCTGCGCCGTCCTGGTTCCTAGTCAGCATGAGCCAAACGATAGAGGAGTGAACCTGCCATTTGCCGTTGCTTCCGCCGAAGATGAAGTCAATTCTTGTCCATTGCGTGGTATCGTTTGGAGCAGTAAACCCAGTGAACGTCGCAAAGTTTGTAGACACGCTGCGTCGTGGTGCCTGTCCACGTAGATCGAGCATAGTGAAGCCGGGTAATTGGTCATCGTCAACGTGATACTTGGCCGCGAATGTGGCGTTGATCGCAACTGGAGGTATAACACCGGTGATGATATTGTATGCCCCCGAGTCCGAGCCAATGGAAGCGCTGTGGTTTACTGTGAGTCGATGCAGAGGATACACAGTGCACAGATTATACCTATTGAAATCACCTGTGATGAAAACTGGGTTACTTGTGTTTACAGCCTCAAATCGAGCTCGAGTCAGAAGCATGGATGCACCAAGCCTTCTTTGAGCGTCGGATTGATCATCGAGGTGGGTGTTTAGTAGCGTGAATTTCTTTTCTTCTCCATTGCTGGATATGGTGGAGAAATGGGCGGCAGTGCAGATACGAATAGACCCTGCACCGGGAAATATGGAGGGCTCGAAGGGAGTGTTCCTAGTAATCGAGGGTGACGCAGAGCAGAGTGCAAGTAATGAGCCACTTACGATAACCAAAATGAATCATTCGAAAGCAGCTTTACTTTCGTACTGGGAGAGGGTAAGGAGACGTAGGTTTCTCACACAGAAACTCAATACTTCTTGTAAAAAATTGGACTGAATTCCCCAGCAGCAACACCATCGTCACGGCCGACGCCAATCTATAGAACGAATAAGTCTATTCTTCTCGACAGTCTCTGGTTGCAGCTAACCCAGGACCATTCCGACCCAAACAGCTCAGCCAGATCTTGGACTTGTCTGACCAAAGCCTCCTGGAAGCCTACGGAACGGATATTATATCTCAGATACTCTAGAACACTTCTCAAATCAGACTACTTGCTTGATAGTGAGATTCCTGAGCTGAGAAGCTGTTCTGCAACTTGAATGCGCCTTGTGCTCCAAGGCTGTTCCTCAGTGAGTGTCAGAAATGTAGGTTGCAGAAGCGGGTCCTGAAGGGAGTCAAGAGACTGTTGTACAGTAATGTTGTTGGGCAGAGAGTCAAAGCGAAGGTTCCAGGTGGAGATACGCATGGCTACTGTTGGATGGATAGCGATGCATAGGATTTGTAGGCCTAGACAGGTGAGCGCGATGAGTGGCTTCATGAGCAAATGCGGCAAGGTCAAGCATACTTCAACGGAGAACTGCAGAAGAAGCAAGCGAACGTTCGACGAAAGTACAACCACATTCTCAGGCTGGTGAGAGGAAACACTTGCAACACAACACAATAAACTCGTTCACATTCTGGTTCGGCCCAAAGACGGGTTTTGCCAGGTTTTGCCTAAATGGGAGTCACGAGGCGAATCAGTTCTTCCTATCTCTACTCCTGTCTTTCAACTGAGTATAGTGGTTTGGACTACCATGGCCTCTCTAGACCAAAGCCACAATTGGATTGCTGGAGCCAATATTTGCCTTGTCCGAAGCATTCTTTCTTTTTGGCAGAGTGAGCCATAATGAGCCGATGATCTGTTGCGTCGACAAAGGTGAGATAAGAAATTCTGATTAGATCATCCTAATAGTGTTACAAGACCGTAAC